TGCGTTTAAGTTTATTACGTTGGGCTTGACAAAATTTTATGAAATATTTTTTCTTATTATTTTTTATGAAAACTAAATTAAATAAACGGTAAGTACGAGTTTTAAGTTGAGCGTGAATTGCGAGTATAAAAATTGAGCACGTTCTTTGGCTTTCAATAGCTGGAAAAATGAGGAAAAAAAATATTGCGCAAAATTTCAAATAATGTGGCAACACCACTAAATTTAGAAGCGGTGCTGTATGCGCTTTGTAAACAAGCATCTGTAGTTTGAACATTTAAGCGTAGCGACAAGCTTAATATTAAGTGAATTTTTACATAATTATAGACAAAAAGAAAGTAGCAAAAACAATAGAATTGATTTAAATAAAAGTTATGAAATATTTTAACGCTGAAATAGTAAAAGTAATAGGTTTAAAAATATATGAACTGAATGCGTGCAAAACGCTCACAACGGTGCATAATAGACTAAAATGAAACAGTTCATGGAGAGTTTTCACACATAGACACACAGACGCAGTATGCTAGAAAAAACGTAGGCATATGCTTACAGTAGAACAAAATCGGTAAATAAGCAATTAGAAAATCAGTTGTAAGTGTAGATTTTTAAAAGGCGTACGTAAGTAATTTTAAATAACAATAGAAATATTTGAAATGTGACAACATGGGTTGCACGATGTTCAGCAATGTGAGAGTTGCAAATTTTAAATCAGTTTATTAAATCTCAAATAGAAATTTGTCGAAGATTTTTCAAAACCAAACCGGAAAATATTTGTTTTTTTTTTATTTTAATTTTATAAATTTTTATGATTCCAAGATATCAATATTTTATTAGAAACAAAATTTTTTTTGAAACTCTACACAGCATTTTTTTTTTTTTTAAATTGCAACCATTTAAATACAATAAAGCACAAAGCATTTTAAATAATGAATAAATTTAAAAAATCAAAACTACAACTCTAAATTTTTCTAATCTCCAATTAAAGAAAGAAGTCGAAATCGCATGGAACACTGCAAAAATATTGTTCCACATCTTCAACTTCAAAAAATCCAAATTACATAATTCTTTTAATCCTTAAATTAGAGAAATTAGGTATAAATTGTAATAAGCACCAAAAGTTTGTTTCAAATCTTGATTTTCAAAAAACAAGAAACTCTACAACCTTCTTTTCAATTCCCCAATTAATGAAATAGATTTTAATCGAATTCGACACTCCGAAAAGTTTGTTTTATATCTCTAAATTAAAAAAAAATCAAATACGACGCTCCACATATTTTGTTTCATAGCACAAAATTCAGGAAATCGAAACTCTACAAATTTTGAGCAAACTCTCTAATGAACGAAATAAATTTAAAATGAATTCGGAACTACAAAAAGTTTGATTTATATCTCAAATTTCAATAAACCAAAACTCTACAAAATTTTTCCATTTCTCAAATGAATTAAATAAGTCGCATTCAACTTTTAAACACTACAACTTTCCTTTATATCTACAGAAATGATGTATTTTGCGCCTCTAAAA